ATAGACGGGAATCTTGGGCATTTCTTGGAAGCGCTTGCGTGATGTCATTTGCCCATAGTATGTATGTGTATGTGTATATATATATATATAGAGAGAGAGAGAGAGAGAGAGAGAGAGACTTTTTTGACTTCGAGTTCGCAGCACAAGTGCTTGTCCCATGGCCATTTTGGCTGTGGGCTATAAAGCCCACATCGCTACAGAAAGCTATTCACTTCGCCCCGAAAGGACCCAGCAGGTGAGATGTCAATCGACCTGAGTCAATCGTTCGAGCCAGAGCTGTAGGCGTCATAAGCGCGCGTGCGACGCACACGAAGCTTGGGCGTTGCGTTGCCTGATTCGCTGGAGGCACTTCTCGAGTCCCCCATGTCCGGGGGCAAAAACTGTGGCACCTGAAATTTCCCTTGTGAGGAGGGGCATGTGCTGCAGGTGAAATGATCATGGTTCTCAAAGTATCAGAGGGTATCTTCCGATTGCCTCGGTCGCCCGCTGAGCAGGGCCGCGGCGGCAAAGCGACGAATGTAGATGTAGATGTAGATCTCACAATACTTGACTGAGGAAAGGATATCCGACCGGAAATCCAGCACGGCGTGTTGCGGCCGCATCGACGTCCTGATTGACATATCTCCTGCTTTGCAGGTTCTTGATGGTGCAGTCAGATGCATCCGCCGTTTGGCCGTCTGTGTCAAGCCTTTCAAGTGTGCAGGGTAGGTGATGGATGGATCGCATTTGGCGATTGCTGCCTGGGCCTGTTTGGAGGTTGGTGGGTCGCCACTCCGACCCCACCTCGTGCGGAGCCTCAAGTCTGCCAGTGTCACTGCACCTGAAGCCCTGATCGTGCTGGAGGGGAAAATCAAGTGATTTGGTTAGCTGCATTCCTGGTCCTCGTGGTTGTAGGAGCGAACCTGGTGTTCATTTGCAGGGTTTCGCTTCCACAATCGGACGGCGAAAGTTCACTCTATCTTTCAAGGGGAAGCCGGGAAAAGGAGTCTTTGGAACAAGCAAGGGCCTGCGGTTGACGGACCGGTGAGCGCGACATGAATGCTGGAGATGTGGTCTATGTTCTTTATCATGGAGATCCGGGAGTGTATCATACGAGGCTTCTGACAGCTGATTTGGGGAATGATGAGTGGATGATAATCACACCAGCTATGGATTGCTATGCCGAGGAATACCATGCACGAAATGGTGACATAAATCGGTTCTGGCACGCAGCTGATGGAAGAGTGCCTCGAAGCATTCCTGTCGGTGACTTGCTCAGGTTGGGTCGCCGTGAGGCCACCGCGGAGTTTGCGCGAAGAGGAGTTGCTCCGGCCGCAGCGGCACGTGCAGCTCCTCCAGCTGCGCCGTCATGGCTTTTGCCTGTTGGCGCACCGGCGCCAGCTGTGGACGCATCAGTCTGGGTGCTGGCTGAGATGGTCAAAGGCCACAAGATTGGAGAGCGAGTAGTGCCGGGAGCAGGGCTTGTTCAATCAGGCGACTGGGGCCTTCAAGACTTCACAGACAGTGATGGAACTTCTCGTCCTTGTCTCATTCGCCGCATCGAAGTGCTGATATCCCTGATTTCTTTGATGAGCGGGTGCAGCTGGCGAGACTTGCGGAGGCGTGCGAGGGCGATGAGCTTTCCAGTGCGGATGATGTGAGAACCATGGAAATCCGCTACGGTGCCAACGGTGAGAGGTTGAGAAGTTTCCGGGAGGCCGTCAGCGAAATGCAGGAGGTCGAATTTTCAGACTTCCCGCTGGCGCCACGCACAACTCTGGCATACCTCAAGGCGGTGGCCAGCGTTGCCGAAAGTTGCATGTCACAACATCTTGCTTGGGTGGCCCAGTCGAAGATTCCAGATGGTGATCGTGCTATTCACGAAGACGAGCTCCTTGCCCGTGTGTTGGACACTGCTGTGACGTCTCAATGTGTGCAACCTGGCCAGCTTCGAGCTGGTCGTCAGACGAAAGCGGCTCCTCGCGGAGGCTCATGTGTATAGCCCCGGGGCACCGTCTTATGAAGGTGCCGATCATTTCATGGGCACCACACACCGCCCAGGAGGGGCGATCATTGTCCCAGCGCTCACAGAGCATGTGTCGCGCAATGCATGAAGAGAGTCAGATCCTCAAAGAGTGCAGGAAGATCCAAGAGAGCAACGGACGCGGCCGAGGCAAGCTGGACAAGCCGCCCCCCCCGAAAGCCCCGGACGGGGGAAAGGGGGGGCGCAGGCAAGTGAGTGTGTTGACAGCGCCCTGTTTCTTGCAGTCGGGCGGGGCGCTTTCGGGTCCTTCGTGGACTAGGCTGCCGATGGGACGGGATTGGAGCAGTTCGATTTTTCATCGACCCAAAGTCGCGACATTTGTCCTTTGCCGTGCTTGGAGGAGCTACAGGTCTCTCAGCCCAAGGTGTGTCGATCTGTTTCCAGACGAGTGCGTGCCAATGCGCACATTACCGGGCGCATTAATATGGCCATTCGTGCCCTCAATTCGCTATTCTTTGGTGGTGGGGACAGGTTCCCTCGAAGGTCCGTTCGCTCCTTGGATGGTCTGCCACTTTGTCAGCAAGAGGCCATCAAGGGGATTGTAAAGAGAGTTCGGAGATTTGGGAAGCCACCGCTAGATGCAAGTTGCCAGGGAGCCTTGAGTGCGCTTCGGGCACCAGCTTCGGGGTACGAGAATCCTGAAGCAGGGGTTGGAATGTTGTGAGTATGAAGCTTGATGCCTTGTCATTGCCTTCGGGGGCGATCGCTGGAGTGGATCTGGCGACCAGTCTTCGGGGGCATCTTGCTTTGCGATTATGAAAACTGGCTGCTACAAGACGCCGGCGCGTGGGCAGAGCTGGCGGAATCGGCGGCCAAGGTTCGACCATACAACGACCCCAATCTGCACAACAGAGAGTCCTACGTTGCTTTCTTGAAACATTTTTGTGCCTGTGGTGTTCCAAGCCAGACGAGTTGCTGTAGGGGGCGAGTCGGGGCTTTCACCGTGGCCAAGAAGCCAAAAGTGGTTGACGGCAAAAAGCAGGAGCGGCAGCGGCTCGTGCTCGACTGTAGACAGGTAAACCTTCAATTTCGACAGCCTCCACTCACGGAGCTAGGATCTCTGGCGGCTCTCACGGAGCTGGAGCTGGGACGAGGCGATAAGCTGTTTACGGCAGGCTCGGATATCCGGGATTGTTTTTATGCTTGCAATATGCCCGCCGGAATGGAGCAGTTCTTCTGCCTGATGAGTGATCTCAGCGTGGAGGAGTGCTGCGAGATTTTCGGAGGGTCAACAGTTGATTATAACAGCCTGGATAGGATTTCGCCCTGCATTACAGTTTTGCCTATGGGATTCAACTGGTCTTTTTACATCGTGCAGCAGCTTCATGAACAAGCATGCCTTCACAGCCTGGAAGCTGACAGGAGTGCCCTAATATTAGATGGTTACCCAGCCCCGTCTCTGACAGGCAGCGGTCCTTGGGCGATGCCGTATTGCGACAACGTGCACTGTCTTTCCACCAGCAGGGAGGCCTGCAACCAGGGCAAGGGGAAGATCTGCGCTCACTTGGAGGATATGGGTTCTCTCTTCATGAGGATGAAGCAGCTTCTGTTGAGTTCAAGACTCTAGGGGGCGTCATTGACGGCGACGTGGGGGAAACCCGAACAACCTCAGCTAGAGCGTGGAACCTCATCCTCGCCTTTGATTTCATGCGTCATCGTGTAGTATCGACGGACCTGGTGCAGAGACTGTTAGGGCACGCTATGGTTGTCTGCGTTCTCAACAGGTCGGGGATGGCCATTTTTCGCAAGCTGTATGACTTCGTGCAGGCCGGTAGTGAACCTCGAAGGCCTAAGCGAGCAGAGGCAGAAGAGTGTGAGATATTCATAGGTTTGGTGCCGCTGCTCGTTGGTGATATTCGCAAGGAGTGGTCAGAGACAGTCACAGTCACAGATGCGTCACCAATGGGATATGGAGTTTGTGAGTCTAGACTTCCGTACAGCGAAGTTCAACAGATGGGCAGGTGGAACGAAAGGTGGCGCTTTCGGCGGCTACCACCCGAAGAGTGGAAACCTCGACAGCGAGCCACAGGACTGTCCCCGATCTTTGACCTGTGCACCGCCGGAGCGGGATATGAGTTCAACGAGTTTGACCAATTTGAGCCAAATCAAGACTTTCCCGAGATTCCACATAAGGTGTGCAAGGCTAGCCGGTGGCGTACAGTCATGATGGGGAAGTGGTCGGAGACATCTGAACATATTACGTTGAAGGAGGGCAGAGCATTGGTGCTGGCTTGTCGCCGTATCTGTCGGAATGTTTGCTCACGAGGTAGAAAGCATCTGATGTTAGTGGACAACCTTTCACTCGCATTTATTGCTTCAAAGGGTCGTGCATCAAATTTCGCTCAGCTCAGAGTGCAACAGCAGATTAGCGCATTATCACTCGCTGGCGACGTTTTCTTCAGACTTCGATGGTTGCCCTCAGAGGGCAACGCTGCTGATGGCCCCTCGCGTGGTCAGATCGAGCCGGGTTCTTTCATGCCCCGTTGCCCGCCGGCCTGCGCAGAAAGCATCGTCAAGGACTTTGACGGGACTAGTTGGGGCGGGGAAGAAGGCCTCCGCAGCAGTCAAGGTGGTTCGCGGCCTGAAGTCGGGCTCCGGGCCGAGCCGCCCTGCGAAAGCTCAGAGGGCGCTCGGAGCAGGTTCCTCCAAGAGGTCAGGCTCTGCGGCGAAACCTCGTCGAGTAGTCTGTGCAGTTCGGCAGGATCTTTCGAAAGTCAAGAAGACGACGCTGAAGAAGGGGATCACGTACCTGGAGTCGAAGAGCATCTCGGAGGAGATCACGGTGGCGTACGAGAAGTACTGTTCGAACTTCAAGAGTTTCTGCAAGGCTCAAGGGCAAAAGGGCATCGGCCCACGGATCGACGACCTGCTTGCCGAGTACTTGGACGAGCTCTTCATGGACGGGAAGGGACTCAGCGAAGCCGAGAAGACCGTAGCCGTAGCCGCGGTAGAGTTCTTCAACTTGGGCGTGAAAGGGCACCTCCTTCGAAGCAAAAGAGCTTTGAAAGGATGGCGGAAGGAGCAGCCACCTCCATGGCATAGGCGCCCGACCCTGCATAAACAAGCTCTGCTAGTAGAGCCGGTCTGAGCCGTGGTGCGTAAAGTAAAGAGAAAGAAAAAGAGAGAGAGGGATGCCTGAACAGTCGCCCTTCCATCTCTCTTTGTGTCCGTCCTTTCGAGGTCTCACGCAGCTGGTCGAAGGGCGCTCGGATTTTTTTGCGGAGCTGGCGAAGAGCGTCGGCTACGAGGCGCGCACGCGGGCGGGGAGAGACGATCGGATATGTGCGGGGGGGCATTCTCCGAAAACAAAGTTTGCGGGCAAGCCTTAAGGTCCAGCGGCTGCTGCGCTTCACCTTGTTGGGTTACACCAACCCGCTCACGGTTCGGAGCCAAAGGGCCGGGAGGGCCGGAGGTGCGCGCGCTGCTCCGCTTCGCTCTCTGCTTGGAGGCGGAGCTGGAGCAGAAAGCTCAGCAGCAGGTCTCCGAGGGCCTCAGGAGCGGGCGCGGCACTCGGAGACGGCTCGTCTCACTGTGGCCAAACGCGAGGACCGTGCTCTCGCACCTGAGCACCTACGTGGACGAGGCAAAGGGTTAGCTTCCGCCTTCGAAAGCCCAATTAAGGATCTTGTGTTCTGAAGGTCTTCACTGCCTCCAAGACTTCTCAGGAGGACGGCTCGGACTTTCTTGGAGCTTTCTTGGTGAGGTGCCATGTGAGGTGCCGTCTCAAGATTTCGGGGGCCTGCAGCGGCAGCTTGATGCCAGCATTTCCCAGGTGCGGTTTATAGGGAAGCGGATCCACGGAGCTGTGAGCATCTGCGGGCGCTTTCGTCAGGGCCAGGAGTTGCAGGAGCCGAGCTCTTATACCCGGCCGAGAGATTCGCGGAGTGTGGCGGAGCCTCGGAGAAGGGCTGAACACAGCACCGCTGAGGGTGCTGGCCAAGAGCGACCGGAAGCTCCTGAAGAGTACCCAGCTCCAGAACAAGCTGCGCTCCATGCACCCCCGCACGACTCGGCCGATGTCGGCCGATCTGCCAGAATCTTTTTCATCGTTTGAGGTACCACCAGGATCTTGAGGCTCAGCGTGCCCGGTTCAGGCGTCGGCGAGTCTAAAAGGCTTCGAGCGACAGCGATGCGGCGACTGTCCTGTGCCAGGTATCTCTTGTCGCGCTACCTCGAATACTTCACACCGGAGGCCTTTGTTTGACGTGAGGGCCAGCGCTTGCCCGGCAGCTGCGAGTGAGGATCTTGAAATGGTACATGACCTCATGAACGCCGGGGGCACACACCGGGCCCGGGCGGGGCATCCGACGTGTGTGTCAGTCTCTACTGTTTGAGGTCCGCTTCTTCAACCCGGACTCTGCCTTGGACGAGGCGGGAGCGCGGGCGGAGCCATGTTGGTGCCGCTCCCCTGAGCTCGACTGCGCGAGGACACGGAGCAGCTGCTTCAGCGAAAGGCAGCCCGCGACGCGCAGATTTTTCTACGCAGGATCCCCCCGTGCATCTTTGGCCTCCCGCGCAGGCTGCAGCCCTGCAGGAAAGCTTCAACGCTCAGAAGGCCAGGAGTCTTAAGAAAAAAGGGGGCGCCCACGGGTTTTGGCGCGGGGACGCCAGGAGGGCCTCGTGCTGCAGCCTCTCGGCTGCGGCTTCTGGCAGTTTCGTGCTGCGATGCTCTGCGATGCTCTCGTCCGCGCGCTGCGCGCGCGCGCGCTGTGTCTGAGGCTGGCGGCGCTGAGCCGGGAGGAGACGGCGATGCGGCAGAAGTTGGCCCTGGAGCAGAAGAAAGCCCTGCGCCCGGCGGTCGTCTCTCCTCTCCCTCTCTCCTCTGACTGCTCTCTTCCGAGCGGAAGGGAGCACTTGGTGAGCAGCCTTGATTTCTTGACCCAGCAGCTCGTGAAGAGTCTCCTTTTGCACCGTTCCAGAGAAATCCTGCTTAAATTCTCAGGCTTCTCTCCTGTCCTTTGCTCGCCCCAGAAGAGACACACGCCTCGGAATCATAAGGGGTGTTCGGACTGATGCGGGGTTTGACCACGTTCGTAGCAGCAGGAATCGTCTTCTAACTGCGGAGTGGGGTTATCTGGACGTTGTGAGCTTGGACCAACACTGAGAACGGCCTGAGTTGACTGCGTGGTGTCAAAACCGGAGGCGGAGGCTATATTCAGAGGGTTGATACGGAGGAGTTGTGCTTTTTGCAAGGGCCGTGCTCTCCGTCTCGTCGAGGTCCGGCTGCTGCAGGCGCGCGTGGGCGAGGACGTGGACGTCGACGACCTCGAGGAGGCCCCGAAGGCCTGCAGCGCAGCTGCGCTGCAGCGCCGGTTTTTGTGTGGTGAAAGCGAAAGCCCAAGAGAGACGGACGGGGCTCCAAAAAGAGACTCCTCGCTCTCTTGCAACGCTCGCTTCAGTAGCTGCTTCGCTGATCCTAAGGACACGGCGACTCACGAGGAAGACTCGGCGGGAAGGCGAGGTTTCAATTGTGCCCTCCCGCCCTCCCGGCGGATATGTCGGAGATCAGGAGCCACATGGCCTTCATCAAGATTACAGCCCTCGAGGACGCCTTGCAACAGCAGGCGCCGCAGTTCTGGCTCCAATCACTTTTGTGACGAATGGACTGTCAGGCTTCCTGGCTTCAAGACTTGGACCGGAAAGACAAGAGCGATGCACTGCCCGATACCCAGCTGTTGTGAACCTCTTCTGGCGTGACGCTGCTTGGCTGAGCCGCAGGCAGCGATTCCAGGCGCCGCACGTGCGCAGAGCACTGCTTGAGCTATGCTTCAGCTGTGATGCGGACGCGAGGGTTGCGACGGGTTGCGATGGTTGTTTTCAGGCTGAGAGAGGAAGGATCTGATTGTTGTCTCAAAAGGCTTTAAAGGGGCTTAGAATTCTTCAAAAAAGCCGTGAGGGCTTCGACTTCAAACCGTGCCCCTTCGTCGGCAGGTCCTGCTGCGACTTTGCCTTGAGAAGGCGGCAGCCGCAAAGGCGGCGCTCGATGGGGCCCGGGCCTCTCGACCTCGAAAAGGAGCCTCTCAGAGAGAGACCCCTCCGAGTCTTTAGGGACGCTGGGCTCCTCCGCTCTCTCTCTCTCTGAGGTGGTGTCCGAGGAGCTCTTGGAGTCCTCGCTGGAGCGGCAAAGGGCCGACCTGGCCGAGAACTTCGCGAAGATCGAGGAGAGCAAGAAGGAAGTTGCTGAGAAGGAGTTGGAGACGATGACGCAGGCCGGCCAGGGAGATGGCGTCGTGGCGTCCTCGCACTTGTGCTTTGCCCGTTTTTTTTGCCGCGAGCCAGGAGTTGGCGCGGCTGCGCAGCGAGGCCGGGGCAGCGCGTTTCTGTTTTTCCTTTCCAGGTTTCCTGGGGAGTTTTGTTTCGTGGAGGTGGAGAAGGCGAAGAAGGAGCGGCTGGCGGTCTCCGCAGGCGGGGAAGAGGAAGAGGGCCAGCTGGAGCCTGGCGCTGAGCCATGGCCGTGCGCTGGCGCAGCTACAGCGCGGCTAGAGCACAGCTCGTTTTTCAGTGCGTTTTCAGGCTGACCCGGGAGCTGAGTCGGACGAAGGAGCTGCTGCAGCTCGAAACCCAGCCGCGGGCCCCGTCGCGTTCGAAACGCCCGCCGGCCCGAGGCAGAAGAGCCGCAGCTTGCAGGAGAAGAGCCAAAGCCTCCGAAAAATGGCCAAGAAAGTCGAGCGCCTGCAGGCAGTTGCGGACAGCGAGCGCGTTCCTTCCCTCCCTCTTTCCTTTGCGAGGCTTTGCAAAAGAAGGATGGAAAAAACAGCGGGCAGACGAAGAGCGAAGGCGAGGGCGTTCCTTCCGAGACCTCTCCGAGGGAGGGGGAAAGTTCCGAGGAGGAGCCAGCGGAGCCAGCGAACGCGGAAGACGGGGACGGGCAAGAGTGGGGAAACCCGGACGGGGACCCTTCGGAGAACAGCGCCAGCGCGAGCCCTGCTCCTTCGGCCGACTCGGCTGAGAGCGAGAGGGAGGGCCGGGAGGGCAGCGGCAGCAGTTCTCCGGCGAGACCGGGAGAGGCGGCAGCGATGCACGGGCAAGGGAGCGCGTCGGAAGCCGCGGCGGAGGAAGCGGCTCCGAGCGAAGCGAGCGAAGCGGTTCCGAAGCCAAGGGAAGTCCTCCCGGCTTCGGAAGGAAGCTGCGAGGCAGCCGACTCTGCCCCCAAGCAGTCTGCGGGCCCGGGCTCGGAAGAAGGTCGGGCTGCAGAGGCCTCGTCCGCAGAGCCGAAGGCAGAGACGGAGACGGAGGCGGAGGCGGAGGCCGCGGAGGCGGCGGCTCAGAACGCACACCCAGAGGCTCTCGCCGCGACGGCCAGCCCGCAGGTGCGCGCACTGTCACTGTGACTTGCTCTTGCGTCTCTTGGCATTGGCCTATAACCAGAGGCTTCCAAGAGCCCTCGCCGAGCGGTGTCAGCAGGAGAGATGAGAGAGAGCGCTGGTCAGCTGGAAAGGGCTGAAGAATCCTGTCTCCTTGCGCAGGAGTGCAGACCTGCGAGGTGCGGGCGCTCAGACCTTCATGCAGCACCCCTGCATGCCCTCGCGTCTTTGTCTCTTTGAGGATCTCTGGACCCTTGGCCCAAGAGAAGCCGCGGAGGAGACGGAGACGAGGACCGGGGCACCGCCACGCCCGAGCCCGAGCCGAAAGAGTTTTGAACTCCTCTTCGTGGAGAAGCCGCTGCCGCTCTTTTGTCTGCTTGGCCGCAGGTGCGGCGCCCGCGGAGCCCGCGGAGCAGGCCGCCCAGGCCGCCGCGCGCGCTGGCAGCGATGGGCAGCTCGCGGAGCTCGCCAACCTCGGAGAGCTCGGAGAGCGGCCAGAAGGGCTTAAGGCTCAGAGGCGCAGCTCTGCGAGTCGACACGCGGCTAGGTAGCCCGCCAGACGCGATTTTGAAGGGTTCCGGCACCCGTGCTCGTGCCTTTTCTCTCCGAGAACGAAGCGATTCCGGCGATGGCCGACCGCAGCCAATGTTTCTTCGCTTCGACGGTGCTGCGCGCCCTGGGCTGTGCCAGGTCTGCCCCAGCTGTGGAGCTTCGCTTCCTCTCCGGACACAGGCAACCCTGCTGCAGGGAGACAAAATCATGACACTCGCTGTCAAATCGCACAGTTCAGGGGGATCTTCTACCAGCAGAAGCGCAAGCAGTTGTGGATCCGCAGCAGGCCTTTGATC